CTCTCTAGACCATCATTGACTTGAGCGTCGAAGTGTTCGCGCCGGGACCACCCCCGACGTGCTTTGCAGGTACCGACGATCAAGGAGACGCAACCCGGTTCGAGAGGAGCGGTCCAACGGTTCAAGTATTTGTGGTATAACAAGTTACATAGTATTTATTCGAATAATTAGATATATTATTTATTTCTTTTAACTTGAGCGCCGACAGATTGTTTTATATTTAGTTGAATAATTCACTAAACCGACGTGCTTTCTAATTTATGACTTTTGTTCATCCAAGTGCAGAATTTCAATTGCCAAATTTATGAACTTTTGAGTTGTATAAATGATTATATTATTAGCCAATTATTGTGTAATAGTAAACACAATTTTAATAATAGAGTTTGCAACTTATATTGTGTAGGTTTGTTTTTTGCAGCAACTCAAATCATGGAATTATTCATAATTTGCTAGTTCGAGTGCATCATAACCATAATAATCTGAAAAACCACACACACACACACACATACACACACACACATATATATATATATAACCAAGATACATAATTTAGGTTACAAATTAAATTTAAAAAGCGTTATAAATTTCTGTTTCACATTTTAATATATGAAATTGGTCGCTGCTAAGAAACTGCTGGAATTGATTAATCAACAAAATGTACCTTAATATTCAACAGTTGAGAGAAGGAAAAAAAAAATAGTAAAAATCAAAACAATTATGTGTTTAATTGGGCATTATTTGTACCCCAAAGTAAATGTTCAACATCTTACAAAAATCAAACTCTAAAAATAAATGAAACAATATCAATACAGAGTATATCATACAAAAACATATCAGCTACAAGGTAACATACATACTCAAAAATAAAAAATAAAAAAAATGGAGCACTAAGATAGAGGATTAATAATAATAATAATATAATCAAGGGATAGAATATATATATCACGGATCTGGTGCGGCGGTGGAATTAATACCTAGCGACGGCGTCAGCGGACCTGCGGCCGCCGTCGAAGCTTTTGGCGTAATCGTAGCGGAAGGTCTGAGGGAGTCCGACATTATCGGAGCCGAGGAGCCTCCGGCGGAGCTGCGAGGTGGCCTTGTAGAGCACGTGGCGCCAGCTTCCCCTGCTGTTGCTGCCGATTGCGGCGGCCTCCTCCTCGTTCATCTCCAGATCCGCCGCGAAGGTCGGCTTCCGAGCGAGGATCCAGCCCCACCCACGCTCCCACCAGCCGCGGATCGAGCTTCCGGCGGCGGCGGACATCGATTTGGAGCGGCGCAGCGCCTCCCATGCGGAGGTGGAAGACGGCGGCTGGATCTGGAGGTTGAGGGAGACGGATGAGAGCCGCCGCCGGATCCCGTCGGCGCCCTGATCCGGCCGGCCGTGCGAGACCGGGAGCGACTGCTTGTTGCCCAGAAGCTGGAAAACCGTGCTCATGATCGGACGATTTTTCCGATCGAAATGTGAAAGTAATTTGATTCAGATATAGAATGCTCACGATTCGTTTGTGTTGTGCTTGCCTCTCTTATTATGCGGTTACAATTACAGGCTGGCTGCATATGGGTCCCGCACCGTCGTTATTTTACTACTTTTCCGACTTGTATATATTTTCCCATTTGTTTAATAGTTTTCCCATTTTTTCTATAAATTTTATTTATCACGATATTTGGCTTATCACCCTATTAACGTTTTGTTTTTTAAAATCCATCATATGAACTATGTGGGTTTGTCACGTTGTCGTAGGAAACCAAATTTAAAGTTGTTTTGTCCAAAAACAACTAGTTTAAAGGGCATTTAGGAACTTTATAATATTTATTTTTTAAAAAAATAAAAAGAAAATGTACGAAAAAAATAAAAAATGAACGGTCAACCATGAAGTCCGCTAAAACCTCATACAAGCACATTCATGTCGACCAGTAGTTTAGCCATCATTATTCAGTGACCCATGTCCGGAGATCCGCAATCTGTACAACCACCGTCAACAAGCCTACAACATTATGCATGCGTGTCCAAGCAGCCCGATAACCACTCAGCAAAAATCGGCCAGCACATCGTCGTGGCATCCAATCGGTGCCTTTAGCCAGAAAACGTTGGGAATACAGCCGCACAAGGCTTAGCCATGTCGCGCACAGAGTCTTCGGTCGATCCTCTGCAACCAGCCTTTAGCCAACTACAATGGACCAGAAACGCGTCGGTTGAACCTCCCGACCTTAGTTTTATTGTTCGTTCACCATTATGATCATCTTACTCGCAACAACAATTGTACCTCTGATCAGTAATGGTTGTCGTTGTCGACACTGGTTGTCGTTGTCGACACCCCACTCGCAACCTCAGCCCGACGTTCAACTCGTAGACATCTCGCACAGCCACCTCCGGTACTCGATTAGGTAGCAGCAGTTCGATGTTCAGCACGTGGGCCGTCAACCATTCCATCGTCCGATCACTAGCCCGGTTATCCGCAATTGCCGCCTACATTCGGGCATGCTTGGGACCGATTTGACGTCTACTCGTTCGGGGTCATGCTACTTCAAATCCTCACAGCCCGGCCAGCCATGGGCCTCTCGCACCATGTTGAGATCGCGATCGAGTCAGGCCTGTTTGCAAATGTGCTTAATCGAACGGTTGGGGACTGTCCAGTCGAGTAGGCCCTCTCACTGGCCAAGCTGGCTTTGAAGTGATGTGAACCAAGGAGGAGGGACATGCCCGATCTCGACTCGGTGATCTTAACTGAGCTCGAGAGGTTAAGGCACGTGGGACTGGAACTGTCGCATGGGTGAGCTTTTTCTATGCACACTCACAAGGTGATTTGAAGTCTCACGGACGCGGTCAAGGTCAAACGGTTCCTCCTAGACGAGGCCTACCACGGAGCCCACGACAAGCTTGACGGGCAGAATGAAGCACGCCTTAATGTGCGCACATCTCTAGTCAGTTTCCGCTGCGAACGGGAGGCGGCCGTGGAGGCCGCTGGCGGCTCTAGTGGCGTAGCCGAGCATGTATCCGGTGAAGAGTTAACTCCCGAGCGTAGAATGCTCCATTGAGATTTTTTTATTTTTTTTTTAATTTTTCTTTTGAAACCAACTCCTTCATTTTTTCATTTTTCATTTTTTAAAAAATACAAAAAATTACTAAAGTAACCTCAAAAATCAGTTTTTTTTAGTCAAACCCACTGTTATATTCGGTTTAAGGGACAATTTGACAAACTCATATAGTTCAGGTGGCGATTTGTAAGAAAAAAGTTTATATAGTGATGCGCAAAAATCGTTAGAGCTCCGAGGACAAAATTTTTTTCCCTTTTAATGAAGACATGGTATTAGCCTAATTGTCAAAACTGAATTACTTGGTTATTTTACGTATTTCTTTAACCTATGATATCTAATACAAGATGCAGTTTTTAATTAGTTAGCATTAGCAAAACCACTAGACCAGGGATGCATTTACGTGGAAAGTATTGAGCATTTGCATATTCTAGAGTATGATAACAATGCTATACGTTTCTTTCGGCAGAGCATCATTATTGGCCTCAATTTTTTTCTAAAGCCTGTTAGGAACTAATAAAATATAGTTTCATACTGTCCTTATATTCCATAAAATGATAATTCGAAGAAAAATGATAGAAGTACATAACAAATGTACATAAAGTCGTACATAATACTCATATGGTGTGGGGTTCATTTTAATAGGTCCCACTAAATGTGAGTGTTACGTACACTTTTATGTACAATATTATGTACCTATAACATTATTCTTCGAAATGATATTGCAAGGAAACATAACCCAACTCGTTGTCTTTAAATTTTTGTAAATGACAATTAATTAAAATGTTGAAGGGCATTACTATTTACCGTCCCCTTTTTATTACTCACCGCTCCCTTTCCCCATTACGTTTTTGCCCTTCACACTATCTCTTTATTTTCTCTCTCTACTCTTTTCCTCTCGACTTTTTACGGCTCTTTTGATTGTAAAAAAAATTTCAAAAAAATCCAAAAAAAAATACTATGACATCGGCAATACATTGAAAATTGACTATATATTTTTTTTATATATTTTTTATATTGTAAATAATTTTTTATTTTTTTTTATTTTTTTTTTGCGCGTCCGGACGGACCGTCCGGACGCACCATGGGGTGTCCGGAAGTTCCGTCCGGACGCGCACAAAAAAATAAAATAAAAAATTTAAAATTTTTTTACAAAGTAAAAAAAATATAAAAAAATACATAGTCAATCTTCAATGTCTTGCCGATGTCAGCGATTCACAATGTTGAAATGCGAAAAATCAAAATAGCGCGACCTTTATCATTGTATTTCTGGTATATAGACGATTTTTTTTTCCAATATATAGACGATTTTATAATTGCTGAATTTTACATTTCAAAGTGAAAAGAATAACGTAACACTGTTATTACTGTTCTATAAATATGTTAATGTATGAGATAAAATAATGTAAGTTCTGAAATAAATTAAGAAGAGTATATAATTTGTCTATTATGCTAAAAAAAAAATGTCTACACTTATAATATATATTTTGCCACGTCTTATGGAAATAGTTACGCCGACCAGCTAGCGCGTCGAATTTTGGCCTCTTTCTTGCACCGACTGTCTACCGACAACTTGACAAACCAATGAATGTAAAACAAGCTTTTGCATTTCTTCCATACCAGAAAATATAAAGAAGGGAGATTCTACGGTCACGTTACAGAATTATATCGTCAGAATTTGTAACCGTTAGATCAACTATCCACGATGATGATCTAACGGTTACAAATTTCGACGAAATGGTTCGTAACGGAACTGTAACATTTTCCTATAAACAAAATCTAACCAAAGAATAACCGAAAAGAAAAAGAAAAGAAAAAAAAAAACACATGACAAGTAATTCTTCATTTCTTTGTATAGTTCAGTAGGTATTATACTGTTATATAAGCCAGCCAGCATTGGGTTATCATTATCACTATATTTTCTTTTTTTCATTCCCAAGTGCTCAGAGTTCTGAACAAACCTAACATTAAGCACTAGATAAATTCTTATTAGACCTATTGTACTTCATATGGCTCCGAACAAGCTGCCCGGCAGCGAGAGCCGACATAAGGGAAAGCTCACCAGCCAGAACCGAACCAGCAACAATGGTGGCCAGCCGCCTAGCATTCGCCCCTGGAACCTCCTTGCTAGCCCCCTTCACCCCGAGCAAGTTCAGACATGCCGACTGCGAAGACAGCTGGGTCCCACCTCCAACCGTACCAACCTGAACAGGAATTTCCAAATTCATTACCCCGATATCAAACAGTTAAATAAACCAGAAGAATTAGAATGTAAATAAATACGAAAAATGAACAGCATTTATTACTTCGATTGAAGGCATGGTGACAGATATATGAAGATCATTGCCGCCATTAACAGCTTCCATCATGGTAATACAGTGGGAGCTCTCGACATTCTGAGCCGGGTCTTGACCGGTGGCTATGTAAACTGCCGACACAATGTTGCTGGCGTGGGCGTTGAAGCCGCCCAGGGCTCCGGCCATGGCCGAGCCCGTTAGATTCTTGAGCATGTTGAGCTCCACCAAGGAAGCTACATCGGTTTTAAGCACCTTCTTCACAACCTCTTCTTTTATGATTGCTTCACAAACAACCGATTTTCCCCGACCTTCAATCCAGTTCACAGCCGCCGGTTTCTTGTCAGAACAGTAGTTCCCTGCTCAGTCAACAAACCAACCATAAATATGAAGCACAATTAGCAAGCCGGCATACACAATACTATCGGCTAATTATCACTCAATCTTAAGACAAATTCGAAGATGCCAATAAAAAACCACCAATATGCGGAGCACAGATTAGCTAGCCGGCATACACAATACTATCGGCTAATTAATCAGTCAATCTTAAGACAAATTCGAAGATGCCGATAAAAAACCACAAATATGCAAAGCACATATTAGCTAGTAACACAATACTATCGGCAAATTAATCACTCAATCTGAAGACAAATTTGAATTGAATTTTTAGTTTTACCAGAGATGCCGATAACATCCATGTCGGGGAATTCGTTGTTGAGGAAGTCGATCACATTCTGAACTCCCTTGGAGACCATGTTCATCCCCATGGCATCCCCTGTGCTGCACGAGAATCTGATATAGAGATTCTTGCCGGCCACAGCACACTTAATGCTCTGGAGCCTCCCAAAACGGCTGGAGCTGTTGAACACAAGGGATAGGGTTTCAAAGTTGAGAGGATCCTCGAGGAAGAACTTGAGTTCGGCAGCTCTTTTGGCAGAGCCAAACCGGACCACCGGAGCCCTCGTCATCCCATCCCTCAGGATGGAGCTTGTGGCCCCGCCGGAGGCATATATAGCCTTGCAGCCCCGATTGGTACTGGCGACCAAGCAGCCCTCTGTGGTGGCCATGGGGACTGAGTATTCCCTGCCGTCCAGCAGCAGAGGCCCGGCTATGCCTACCGGAATCTGCACGTAGCCCACCGGCATTTCACAGCACTGGCCCAATATGGCATCATAATCGAAACCCTCGAGCGGCAGGCCGGACAGGGATTTGCCGGTTGTGCGCTGCAGGGCCTCACGGCGGATGGCTGCAGCTCGGTGGCAGTTGCCGAGCTTTGACTCAAGGGCATACGAAGGGGTCTTCCCTTCCACCACCGACTTCACGACTTCCTCGTCGTCCGATGAGACCACCTGATTGTCGATGGTCTTAACTAGGTCGTCGGATTTAGGGGCTGCTGCGCAGGGGGAGGCGCGGGCGTCCTCCTTGAGCATCAAACCCTCGCAATCGACGGCGATTTCGTCGTCGTCGTCCAGGAGGTCCTCCTCCTCGTGGGAGGCGCGGGGGATGACGAGGGACTGGACGAACCCGATGCCGAAGAAGCCGAGGAGGTAGATGAAGGAGGCGACGAAGGTGACGATGGCGGCGATCTCGGAGAGAGTGACGACGTGGAGAGGGGTGGAGTTGCGGATCTTCTCGCGCCACCGGAGGAGGAGGTAGTACACGACGGAGAAGAAGAGGCCGATGAAGACGGCGTTGGTGAGGGGGAGCGGGAGGGGGAGGGCGTCCGACGCCTTGAGCGGCGGCGATTGGGGCTCAATCAGAGGGTCCTCGGCGGCGGCGGAAACCTTCGTCGATCGGCGGCGGCCTTCCATTGTTTTTTTTTCTGATCGTCAGTCGGCTGTGCAAACCCTCGGCCGGAGGATCAGGGGTAAAATGGGAAATTTGTACTGAGGTTTTTCTATTGGCGCAGTGTTAAAGTGCTTTTCAGTGCAGAAATTGGAAAGTGAGGGCGTGAATTTGGAGTTGAAAAGCGGGCCGTATATATAATGAAATTCAAATAGATAAAGCGTCAAACCTGACCACGAGTTTAATTTTTTTCCTAAAAAAAATAAAAAAATAGGAATTTTATTTGTTTGACTTTGGTCCAAAATACGTGAATTTTTAATTCGAGGTCTGAAATTATAAAATTATATCGGGATTTAAAAATTTAAGACTTCCATTTGTATTACTCAGAATATTAAAAAATACTCTAAAATTAAATATAAAATATTTATGTTTTTTGTAATTGGTGGGAGCTACAGTTTTATTTTATTTTTTTATATTATTCATCTTGTAAGTTTTTATTTATATTATTAAATTAATAGTAATACTCAGAATAGTTTAAATATTTCGCATGATTATTAAAGTTTTAAGACAGAATTAATTATTTAAAACATTTTAGTCTCAAAACTAAAAAGTTAACCCATATGTCAAACATGATTATATTAAATAGAGCTGCAAACGAGACGAGCGCTCGAATGAAAGCTCGACTCAACTCGAGCTCGAGTTTGACCAAACTCGAGTCGAGCTCGAGCGGCTCGAGCACGACTTGGTCGAGCAGTTCGTCGGGCGGCTTGATATATATTAAATTACTAAAATACCCCTTATATATCCTATTTTCCCGAATATGCGGAGCATAAGTGGCAGACTTCCATGGTACGGGATCCTAGGTGTCAAAATTTCATGCTTCATTATTTGGTTTGAATTTGGATAGTTTAATTCCAATCCAAAAATAATTAGGTTCGAATTACCACAAATATGTTGATTTATTTATAATCATATTAGATGTATTAATTGTAGTTTAATATCATTTCCTATTATAACCATTGAATTGTACATGTATTATAAATTTGATAACTTTTGTATTTCTCATCGACTTTATATATATAATTTATTAAATTAATCATATTTTGATTAGCTTCGATTTGACATCCATATTGTTATATATAATAAATAAATTTTATTTATTTTTATAATAATAATAAAATTATTTATTAAAATTAATTCGAAGAATAAATTATTTTTGAATTAATATATTTATGTTTAATGTATTTAATGTGTTATAAGTTAGAAAAAATATTATAATATAACACAACTAAGTCCCACAAGTAACAAGTGTCATACTAAAATATATAATTATATATTTTTTATTATAAAAAGTATCTAAATTTACAACCACTTTTTCTCATTAATTTTAAATTTTAAGAAAAAAAAATTAGCAAGCACCCGTGTAATACACGGGTGTTGTACTAGTTTAAATAGTATAACACAAGTGTTCAATAGTAATTTCACTTTAAAATTTCGAGTCGAGCTCGAACTATTGTATTTTTTTATCGAATCGAGCTCGAGTCTCATATATAAATTGAGCTCGAGCTCGTTCAGCTAAAAAATCATGCTCGATAAGACCAATATTTGACTCAGCTCGACTAATTTACAGCCTTAATCCTATATAAGTAAAAAAAAAATAATTGTTAGTTATAAAGTCAATAAACGGCGCATGAAAATTTGATGTGGAATTCGGAAAAAATTGCCCTCCACAAGAGGAAATGTACCCAAAAAAACGTGCTTTCTCTTTTAGAATTTTTGGCTTCTCTTAAAAGTCATAATAACTATACTACTTAATTAGACGCGTATTGAATTTCATGTTATGGTTCACTTCACCTAATTTTATTTTGTCATGCACAAGTCAAATTATATATACTCTAATATGTACGAACAAAATACTACAGTTCCGTTACGGAACCATTTCAGCAGAATTTATAACCGTTCGATCATCATATAATTGTCGTGAATAGTTGATCTAACAGTTACAAACTCTGATAGAATAGTTCTATAACGGGACCGTAGAATCTCCCTATGTATAATAAAAAACAATTTTGTTTGAGTATAAGTCCATTAACAACTGCTAATTACATGATTAGCATGCAATATTTTAAATTTTTATTTTTACCAATTTCAATGCTCTTTTCATATTCCTAAAGTAAGAGAAAGGAGGCTTTCCATTTATTTTATTGCAATATGTGTTAGCTTTTGGTAAAACTAAAACACACCAATTATATTTATATTACTTGTTGTAATAATAAAGTGTGTTCATATTCAAGAGTCATAAATACTACTGCACTAAAAGATCATGATGTGCTCAACACCTCGCGAACTGGTCTGATATACGATATTTGTAAAGCGCGGAAAAAAAATTTTGATGTAAAAACTAATTAAGATGTTCAAATAATCAATACGTACATTTTCCTATTGAGACGATATTTGTATTCGAAATTATAGTTTGTGATCACGGTAGCTAAGACGAGCCCTCAATAAAGGCGTTGGTTCTATATATTAGTCAGTTTTCACTTTTTAGTGAGCTATTGTTTGCATTTTATTGTTTCTATTTAAAACGTATAATTTTTACCATTAGTGCACAAAACGATGTAAGAACGTGGATAAACAACGTAAATAGCAGAAGCAATAAATCGAAGATGTAAAAAACTCTTCAGGAAAGCGTCCCACTTCCCCTTAGAGCTCTTTCACTGATAAACTGTTCACACTTGTATAGTTTGGACTTACACGACTCGAACTCTCTTCTAGTCTAGCCACAACTACACACGATCCTATCAATTACTTCTTCGGCCACGTCCCGTGGACTTCTATCTCTCGAATCTCTCGAGCTAACAACAGTACTTAATCCCTAAGTACTGATTACAAAAGTGTTTGAATTAAAAATAAAAAAAATAAAACAAACGTGTTCAGTTCTTCGATGGCGTAAGAACACCGAAAACTGAAAAGCAAAAATAAAACTGAAAAAGCTTGAAGCTCGAATATCGAATGGAAGATGATAATAATCTCGGCAGCATCTCTTCGATCTTCAAGCAGGGTATATATACAACTCCTTAGATTTGGAGTCTTCTCCAAGTATGAGACTCCTTTTTTATTTCCTTCCAAGTTTATCCAAGGAAACATGGTAAGTGTAGGACTCTTCTCCTCTCACATCAAGAACTCCTTTCTTTCTTTCTTTTTTTTTTTTTTGGTAG